TCTTGATTTTGATCTTGATTTTGATCTTGATTTTGATCTTGATTTTGATCCGGGTTTGATGGTGATGGTGATGGAACTGTAATAGGAATTTCGAGTAACCCGTTTGATACGATACTCGTAGGTGCTGCCGTCGTGCAGAGTGGTTCAAGTTGGTTGAGATGATTATGATTATCATCGTCATCGTCATCGTCATCCCTTCGCCGCCACCCCGACCTGAAAGGTTGTGGTGGTGGTATATTCGAGTTCGAGTTCGAATTCGAGTTGTGGACGTGATCGTGATTGCTTCTCAGTGACCTCACCCTGGTCATGAGTTTACCCACTGGCCTCCACGACCTCGACGAGTCCGGGTCGTCGACGAGGTGCGAGTGCCGGTCGAAATATCTTTCCGCCACCTCAAAGGCCCAATCCGACTTCGGACCGAAAGGTGCGGCGCACAATTCGGCCAGGACGACGGCCAGGGCGTACCATTTGTCCCAGACTTTCCATGCCCATGGAGAGAACTCGACCGATTTGGTCTGTAGGTGACCCCCCATCACCTCCGTCGCCGAGGTGAGGACGTCAAAGTCGGTGTCGGTACACAAGTCCTTGTGCCAGGGTGGAATCATGGAGTCGCCACCACTGCCGGTGATTGTGGTGGTGGTCCTAGTAGTAGAAGTACCGTTGTGTTTGTTACGCGGAAGGTGACAATAATACGGAGGTCTCCAGAGTAAGAGGTACATTGAACATGATATGTCGTGGGCTGCAGTCTCTGCCAACTTTTCCAATGGACTTGCCTCTGTTCTTGCTGCGTTTTCCCGTACGCGACAAAACTTGGACGCCATCGAAGTTTCAAAGGCCTTGACAATCCTCAATTTCTCATCCCAACCTTGCCGATTCGGTTCGGACCCAATCCAGTTTGGGATCTCGCAGAGCTTGAGGTGACACAACATGGCTTCGTGCGTGAGGGAAGAAAAGGACATTTCTGTGAATTCCCCTGGGTTTCGTCGGCGTATTCCCTGCCCTTGCGGGGTTGTTTCTGAGAGATATGTCATTTCGGCGTCGTCGATATAGAGAGGTGGTGTCTGGACGTCCGAAGACGAAAATAGCGGGAGACTCCCCCTGTCGAGGGCCGTTTGGGTATCGATGATTCCAATACTGAACCAGAGTCTACGACGTTCTTGAATCTCAAATGGCAAATAGACCCTGGCGGTGGTGCCAGGAAGAGGAGGAGGAGGATTCTGATCGCGGTCCAAATGGAGGGCCTTGCCGAGTCGGATCGCCAGGGATACTAGAGACCAACTTGCCGCACGGCTTACGTTGGTTTGTATGGCGAGCTAAAAACAAGGTACAAGATGAATGAGATGGAGTGTCGGTGAATGTTTTTGGGTCTGGGGGGGCAGGCAGGGTGGTAGAGACATTGATTTGGTGAGGAGAGGTGTTTCCAACTTCCCGGAAAACTTAACTTACAATGTATATCACGAATGCTTGGAGGGATTTCATGCTGGGGTCGCGTAGTAGATTCGCTTTCTGCAGAAAATACTCTGTTGATGTTCGGCATTGGTGGAGGAGATCCTTGCGGTTGGAGAACTTGAGCCTCTCTTGTGATTCGACGTCTGTAATGGTGCAGAGAGACATGTAGTATATGGCGAATTCAAGGGCTTGGAGTGAGCTACTGCTGTTTGAAGTTGAGCCCGTAGAGTCATGGAGCAGTCTGATTTGTGCAATGGTGCTGGGCACGTGGAGGATCTTGTATACACTGTCCACCCTGATTCGATAGATGTCAAGTAATATAACTGATATGTCATCCGGTATACGAGGTATCCCTTTAGTAAGTGGTGAAGAGATGGTACCAGTGGTGGTATAGCTGAATTCAGATCGATGCAGCAGCAGGGTCGTCGAGGTGACCTTGACTTTGACCTTGACATGGATTGGATATGCTCGTGCTCGTGGTTGTTTGGGGAATACCGTCGAACTCATCATCTTCTGAACTCTCGAGAATCTCTCTTAGTCCGGCTACCTATCATTCATACCAATGTGACTTGTGTGAGCCTCGTAATTGGGTATACGACCTTTGCCAGTACATACCTCTTGGAAAAGAGCAGACCAAAAGTCACCAAGTGGCACCATTGATGTTGAGGCAGATATGGCTTCCGAGTTCCCAATTGGATGTGGACTTACAGATACATGTCCCAGGTGATTAGTTGTCGAGACCGAGGATGATGGCGTGGAGTTGAAATTTCGTGGCCTCTGATCCTGCGTTTAGGCGTAAGTATAAATACCACTTACGTTGGACTTTCAATGGGTGTCTTTACAGCTTGCAAGACGTGGAGATTCTTCAATATGTCTTCCATCCGACTGACTCGACTTTCCAATAGGGTGGCTTTGGTGCGTTGTTTTCCACTTCGTCCGCGTGGGCGGCGGGCGCGTTGGACCACGTCGCAGACCAAATTGGCTTGTTTGCATGACGAGCAGGGTACGGCTTTGTCGCATTTTGTCTTGCGACGTCGACATCGGTCACAGCTTAGACGTGGTATCGGATGCATTTCGATGAAGTCGAACCAAAAGTAGCCCCCCTACCTGACTGGGATAGGATGAGGCTGTACTCCGTACTATGCTACAGTAAAGAGGTAGGCCTACGTATTGGCCCTCAGTTTGTTACCTTTAGGGCTCGGGTGTCACCTAGAAGAAATTGTTCTCGGCGCCAATTGGCCTTGGAATTTCCAGTATAGGTGGTCCAATACGTGAAAACAACCCCTGTTAACATCCGCAGGGGCCCATTGTGTAAACGGGACAAGTCTGACTAAGTAATAAGGCATCTCTCGTATTCGTACCGTCTGGCCTTGGCATCCCTGCAAGAGATCTCGACCGTCGACCACCACGAACCCCCGAAGAGTAGACTCCTGGACCGCTCCTTGTTCCCATTAACAGAACTCGGGCTCGATTCAATCCACACCCGAGAATTACGAAGAACAAGACCTGGAAGAAGCCGCAAATGAACGGGATTTGCGGACATATCGGACCAAAAGTTACTGTAAGTGGAGATTATTGAATCATTGATGAATCAATGCGTTATGCCTTGGTGTATGGGAGTGAATGAGAATGGAGAGACGGAAAACTGGGTCCGTGCTTGATACAAATACTGGAAATACGTCCTGTTTCTCTTGACAAGTTCAGGTCGAAGCTACTACCTAGGATACCACTATTCCTTACAGCACTACCAAAGTGCAAAAGTGTCGGCTCGAGTTCAATTGACTCGACGGAAACCATGGCATCTCAAACTATCATCCTCGTAACCGGTGAGTCGACATCCACCTCGACCTCTTTACCGGCCGGCGCATGCTGACCGTGCTGTAGGTGCCAATTCTGGGATCGGTTTCGCCACTGCAGAGGTCATCGCATCGGCATCGCCAAATTACCATGTCCTAGTGGGAAGTCGGAATCCTGAGAACGGAAAGAAGGCTGTTGCGGATCTCAAGGCGACTGGAAACATCAAGGGCACATTGACGGATGTCCAGATTGATATAACGGACCAGTCGTCGGTCGATGCTCTTGCCAAATTCATCGGAGAGAAGTTCGGCCGCCTAGATGTGCTGGTCAACAATGCGGGTATAGGTACGTGTGGTCTCATGCTACCATCGAGCGGCTCTCTCTCTTCTACCTCCTGTCATTCTTCATTCCTAGAGACAGATTCAAACTGACCCATCCACTTTTCGTCCATATACAGCCCCAACCGACGGTAGTCTGAGAAGTATCATGGACCGGACATTCCAAACCAACGTCACCGGACCTTTGGTCTTGACCGAGGCTCTGAAACCATTGTTACTCAAGTCGAAGAACCCATATTCGATTTATGTGTCTAGTGGTCTCGGATCCTTGTCCATGGCAGACTCGGAAAAGGTTCTCGCCCTCGAGTACCCGGCGTATAGCGCCAGCAAATCCGCTCTCAACCAGATGATGATTTATGAGTCGAAAAACAATGCAAAGAACGGCATAAACATGAAATCCTTTGTCATGTGTCCTGGCTTCGTCCGGTCACATTTGCGTGGGAAGGAAGAGGAGCAGATTAGTGGCGGTGGTCGAGCGGGAGATCCCAAGGTGTCTGGACAAATCATTCTCGACATCGTCGAGGGGAGGCGTGATGCTGATGTGGGTAAGTTTGTATACAAGGATGGCGTGTACCCTTGGTGAAAGAATTGGATTTGTGTTGAGGAGACGACATGATTTATAAAGCGGTCCGATACCTACTTTGAAAGATCATATACTCGATACTGTCACCATAGATTGTAAAAAGAGAAATCACATCCGGGACTATGCATAGCACGCATGGTGCCTCGAGCATCATCGGAGTACATCAAGAATTCATAACGACAATTTTCACACGTCCTAGCTCTCGTAGGTACAAACTACTCGTACAACATCAACTTCGAGTGTGTGACACCTCTCACGCTTCGAGCTTGGTGACCAGTTTCCCGGTGTTGTCACCGGAAAACAACTTCAACCACGTCTTGGGAACATCTTCGAACTTTGTCGGCACGACCGTCTCGTTCCCTTCTCCGATCTTCAATTTACCGTCCTGGATGCCCTGCCTGAAGACCTTGAGGGCTTCGGCCCTCGACTTCAAGTAATCGATGACGATGAACCCTCTGATCTGCAGTCTCATGGAGATGACTTGGAAGTAATTCTTCAACATCAGTGGCTCCGAGGAATTGTACTGGGAGATTGCACCGCACGCGGCGACACGACCATACATGGACATACGGCCGAGCATCAAGTCGAGGATCTCGCCGCCCACGTTGTCAAAGTAGACGTCGACACCGTCAGCGGTGGCGTTCTTGAGGTCCTCTTCGAAAGATGAGGATCTGTAGTTGAGGCCTGAAGTCAAAGACCAATCAGTATCGAGATTTGGTTTTTGGAAGGGCCCAATCCAAGTTCGTAGGGTCGGAACTCACATTTATCTGCACCTAGACTCTCGACCCAGCGACATTTGTCCTCACTGCCTGCGATACCGACGACATTGCTGGCTCCGACAATGTGCTTTGCAATCTGAACGACCATGCTACCCGTGGCACCGGCCGCGCCAGACACCACCACCTTGTCGCCCTTTTTTGCTTCCGAGATGACCACGAGGCCATAGTAGGCCGTCAAACCCGTGCTTCCCAGAGCGCCGAGGTAGTGCGTCAAGCTCAAGCCGTTGGGGAGTTGTTCGACCGGAGTGACGGTGGCGGCGTCCAGGACGGCATATTCGTTCCAGTCGCACACACCCTGGACGATGGCGCCCTTGGTGATGTTTGGGGACTTGCTATCTAGAACCTCGCACAGGCCCCGGGCTCGCATTGGTTCTCCCACCTCGACCGGTTGGACGTACAGACGATCCTTGGGCACATCCGGACTGATCCAGCCTCGTTGCGCCGGGTCGTTGCTGTAGTAAAGGACCTTGACCAGGATCTGGTCGTCCTTGAGCGCTGGAAGGTCTCGAGTCTGTAGAGTGAAGGTTGGCTCGTCACCCGAAATGGTTGCGAGACCTTTCGGTTTGTTTGTTAGGATCCAGCTCCTGGTCTTGGTGGGTAGTCCTGGCATTGTGTCGTGATGTTGCAAGATTGTCGTTCTCGGAGGCAGTTGCGCAAAGGGTTAATGAGACAACAAACAGTATGATATGACTTTACTGACAACAATACATTTATATCTCCAGACTTTGTATAGAAAGTGAGTGTGCCATTACTAATGTACGTCACTTTTCTAGTGGAGAGACGTTGCCGTATCCGAAAGATAGCCGGGCGATTTGTTAGGCTCTATTATTAAGAAGCCGAGGAAGCAATCCAGTTGCAGCACCACCACAAAAGAGGGAGACAAGGCTGTGTATCTAGAAGTGGAGATTTACTGGGGGACAAGGCTCTCAAATACATACAATACTCTCCTCTCGCTCTCCATTCTCCCTATAGCCTATTATTATAGACCTTCTTTTCCATATATTGATTTGATCATCGACATCCCTGGGAATGCACCCCGCACCGTACTTTTCTGCCAGTAGAACAACATTCACCCGGTCAATCTCCTGACTATTTCTGTTGATCTATGCTAGGTAAGGAAACAGGCTTTCACTTCCGGCAGATGCAGTGACATGATATGTGCAGCAACTCCGCTTCATGATGCTTTGTTCTCTCCTGCCTACTCTGTGTGAGGGGTTCGAAGATTTTGCATATACATAACGTCATTAAGATCGTTTGAAACCGTAGCACGATCTTCTAAAGGTCTCAGACGTACATCCAGATCGTGTGGAATATATCAAATTAAAGGAGACTCTGGAATTCTCTCGCTGGACTTTATCGTTGTGGACTCCCGGGCCAAAACAATCACACATATTATATGAGGTAGCTAGCTAGGCGCGAGTACACTTCGTGACGGATTCAAAGCTGCCGAGATGAAGTCGTTGATAATACTCTTCGTTTCATTCTTCCTCAACCTCGTCGCCTATTGTCCGACCTCTGCCGCACAAGAGGACCCAAGGGTGAAAGTGGCACTGACACTTCAACATCCGGTCAACGGCATCAGTACAACCCCCGAGGGTCGTCTGTTCATCCTCTATGCACGTGTCGATGGCTCGACCGGCCCTCAGGTCGCCGAGTGGCACAATAACAGCGGTCCAACACCGTACCCGGATGCAGAATGGAATTCTTACGCGGCCGGAAAGGACCCTGCGACACATCTGATACGGACCAACTCTCAACGCATCGGTCCAGATGGAACATTGTGGTTGGTGGACACCGGTTCACCTGGTTTCGGGGAGCCCGTCATTCTACCTGATGGACCAAAACTTGTCCAGGTGGATTTGACCACGAACAATGTGACCAGAGTGTACAATCTTGGGAGTGAGTGACATCTTCAAACTTCATCAAATAACGGGTCAAGTTTGGACCAGAGTACTCAGTAGATGATACACAGATGTCACTTTGGCCACCAGTCTCATCGACGACGTACGGTTCAACCCCTCGGTCGGCCTGGCGTACATCACCGATGCCGGTGCGCCTGCCATCATCGTCCTCGACCTCGAAAGTGGTGAGGCAAGGCGCGTTCTTGAAGATGATCCAACCACGAAAGGATTCATGCCCGTGTCCGCAGAAGGCAAACTGGTCGGCGGACCGACAGGCATGACATACCTCTACGTTTATGCGGATCAGCACGAGGTCTCTCCCGATGGGAAATATTATTACTACCAGCCTTGCGAAGGGGGCATGTCCCGGATCGCGACCCAATACCTCAATGACGCCTTTTACAATTCCACTCTCGCCAGTGTCCTCTCGCAATACCCCGAGCCGTACGCTCTGACTCCCTCCACCGGCGGCACAGCAATCGACGCGCAGGGAAACGTCTACAATAGCGACACGAACCGGCAGTTGGTTCTGAAGATAGCCCCGAACGGCACCTCGACAATACGTCAGTTACCACCACACGCCGCCCCCTTGATGTTTTTTATGCATAACTGACTTGACCTTTTTCACCGTAGTTGTCCAAGATCCTCGTCTTTTATGGATCGACGCAATGTGGATCGACACGTACGGAAAATTGTGGATGCCAGCCGCCCAGCTCAACCGTGGAGTAACTTTCAATAACGGCTCGAACTACATCCAGAAGCCGCTTTACGTTTATACCATTGACATAGGAGTCGGACCTTCTCCGATTGATCATGCTTAGCAGAGAGTGTTTTCGCTATGGAAATAGCAAAGTAGAAGTCATGTCTGCTACGGAGTAAATACCAGACTTGCCCAAGTTTGGTAATTTGTGTACAGTGTTTTCTAAAGTTCATAAGAGAACACTAATAGCACTAAAATGGGTTCAGTTCACTTCATTACAGTTGCCACCAAGTTGTACTATATTTGCAATGGAAAAGATGGTGAAAACTGCTCGAAACTCATTTTACTATCTTCAAAATATATAGTGATAGAAAGGTACTTGAGTATATTTTGGGAAAGGATTTCTTTCGCTCAGATTGGGACAGATTAATGGGGTTGCAACGAACGAGATTCTTCCAGCATCATCTCGACTGCTGGTCGTTCAGTGACAACCCTTGGGTGTAAAGGCTTGCCTACCTTGTGTCTCCAAGGAGAGAAGGCCAAAAATGAGGAACAAAAAAAGGGAGGACACAGAAGCTGTCAGAAACAAAGAGCTGGACACTCCTCTTCGATCAGAAACTCTGTGTCACAACTGTCCAAACAAGGAACTCACAGCTACAGCGAAGAGACCAAGGTCTCTTTGAAAGAAAAGGTTGACAGCCATCCTTGAACAATCTCACCCGCTGGACGGGGGATTTGACAATGTCCCTGACCGCTGAAAGCACCCATAGACAATAAGCACTTGCTTCAATTCATAACCTCTCAGACCATAAAACCATTGTAGAAAGAGATCTCACCAGGGAGTCTTTTCTAGGAACACACGTGGGGTGTGAGGAAGAAGAAGTAGCAAGAAGATAGACAGACAGTCATACAATCAAGAAAAGTTTTGCGAAAAGAAGGACGCTATCGCGGCGAGCGATAAGTGTACGAAGATCTAGTTACTCGATCGACCTGACACCGTGAATGTCGTGAAGACCCGTACAGAAGTCAGGTAACGAGGGCGAATAAGTGGCGAGAGAGGTTGCGAGCGAAAAAGGATGTCGACAAAGATCACACAGAGTTCGATGTTGTTGTTGTGGAGTTACTGACACGCCCTGAGTGCACCTGGTGCTTCCTTGTCCACGAGTAGTCCTGTGATAGTATGAGTGGGAAAATGAAAAGAATGGCAAAGGCCAGGAGAGGAGGGAGAGGGTTGGGGTGGGTGATTGTGGTTAGTGATCGAGCGAAGCTGGCCAGACCAACGGTGGAAATAGTATCTCTCTGACAACAAAAACGGGATGATCATGGCATAGTGTCGCGTTTCTTCTACTAAACTTTCTTCGGCAATAACTGCGACGACGCTGCTGGACGATAATTCTAGAATTAACTCAGTTGTACTCCGTATTTGCTCCGTAAATCACTAACGCCCGTCACCCCAGTGAACACACTTAAGCGGAATATCGAGGAGAGATATCTCGGGCGTAACAGTGATGGTTACAGTACCTACTAGGATTTACTCGGGTGCCTGCCTATTCATCAGGCTCACAGCTATGTCTCTTGGTGTACGGGTATGAAATTCGTTATGAGAAGAGACGAGGGAAAGCGAAGATTTCCCGGCGCGCGCAAGCTCGTCATAGAACAGAACATCTCGCGAGCTTGTGGAGGACTGCAATTTTGTCGAGACATCATGTTGACGCATCACATCTGCCTCTCACTGCTGACGTTTGCAGGGAAGTAGTGAACTCAGGAGATATGGTAGAAAATGATCGATACATCGTCGGATAATCTCGTTCGGAATTCCCTTGTCGCTCGATCGTCATAGATTGTATGCAGCATGTGGTGTCCGCCTATGTGCTTTCAGTTGGCCTTCGAGTGAGAATGAATGCATTTTGTTTGACAGTTTGCCATTCGTGCATTGATTTTCACGTAGAAAGATATTATTCCGTGGGCATTGTCGCGCTTCTCGTAAGGTTTCGAGTGCCTCTTCCACACATATGTCCTTGATCCTCAAGAGGCTTTTGTCAGACCACATCTAATATGCAATAGCACCATCGAGAAGGGGTCCTGCAACGATACTAGTATTCTCGCTTCGACACGGCGAGCAGTAAAACTAGTAAAGTCAGTACTGACTTGATATCACCTTGCTGCTGCATTGTCCAATCTGCATTTCATACAAATACAAAATAGAAGGCATGCTTATGCTTGAATGTGGCAGTGTGGAGATGAGATCAATCGCATTCCATACACTCCTCGACCCTTTCGCGGAGCGACTCGACTAGGATTATCCTTAAAATGAGTCCTGTTGCTGCTACGGAGTACTCCGTACATTGCATCGAATTGTTTCACCGTAACAACCCAGTCGGACGGAAGTGGCGATGTTTTAGTGACTAAGTCACCCGAGTGCGTATAGTGTGAATGAGGTCTCGCATGCTCTCTAGCGTGTCCTGCAGGCATGCTTTACCAAGTTACTTACCTATGGTGATTATTGTCTCAGGGTACTTGAATTGGAGGATTAGGTTGGTGGTTATCATGAAAAAGCATCTGGTCGAAAATGATGGCCGTGGTGCTTTTGTCTCGTGGACTGATTACTAAGTAGTCACGTGGTGATAAGCCGATAAGCAAAGTGCATCCAAAAAAGAATTTTAGAAAATTGCGGAGAGCAGACCAGTATTCCTTTGCGACGCAGTTTCACCAACATAGACATAACCCCCTGATACGTTCGAGAACGAGCCGCCCCCTCATGTCCAAAAGAACGGCAGACGACCAGGAACACCTGGAATCCCTGAAAGCGGGTCAGCGGCCTGAAGCAGACACCAACGGCGGGTCCACCCTAGACTTTGAGGATGAGTTTGAAGATGAGTACGAATCCGAGGATGAGATCATGGAGGCCGGTGTGGATGGTCGACCAGATGCAGAAAGAGACGCCGAACAAGCACAGGACGCCATGGATGTGGACACAAACGAAGAAACCTTCATACCGGGACGTTCAATATTGCAGCCAGGAATGACTTTGAGCCCCGACCCGTCTACCTACGAAATGCTTCATACCCTGTCTACGAACTGGCCTTGCCTTTCTTTTGATATCGTAAGGGATAATCTGGGAGACCAAAGAAAGAAATATCCACGAACACTGTATGCAGTTGCAGGTACACAAGCCGAGTCTGCAAGAGCAAAGGAGAACGAGTTATACATTTTGCGACTGAGTAGTCTGTCCAAGATGGATAGAGGCAACGCGTCAGATTCTGAGGATGATGACGACGAATCGGACGACGAGGGCTCTTCAGATCCAGTGCTTGAGTCAAGATCCATCCCTCTTCCTAGCACAACCAACAGAATACGGAGTTTCCAGCCTGCAAACGAAAGCCCCGACATGACTCAGATGCCACAAACGCTTACAGCAACGTCACTCGAGAATGGCCAGGTTCTGATACACGACGTCACCCCATACTTGCAATCGATGTCGAATCCGGGCTCGACTATTGCCCCGAATGCATCAAAACCTCTAAGCACATTGCGTATGCACAAGACGGAAGGCTATGCTCTTGACTGGGCACCTAGCTCTTTACATCCCAACGGGCGACTTTTGACCGGTGATAACGCGGGACAGATTTTCAGCACACAACGAACCCAAGGTGGTGGTTGGGCCACCGATGACCGACCGTTTGCAGGACATACAAATTCAGTCGAGGAACTTCAATGGTCGCCAAACGAGAAATTCGTCTTCGCGTCTGCCAGTTCGGATGGTACCGTCAAGGTATGGGACGCCCGGAGTAAGAGTCGGAAACCGGCGGTGGATGTCAAGATCAGCAATACCGACGTCAATGTCATGTCTTGGTCGCGACAAACCTTCCATCTACTTGCCACGGGCGCGGATGACGGTCAATGGGCTGTTTGGGACCTAAGACAGTGGAAACCGCAGTCATCTGGAAGCTCGCAGCTCAAGCCGAGCCCTGTTGCCGATTTCAATTTCCACAAGAAACCAATAACTTCTATCGAATGGCATCCCACGGACGACAGCGTGGTTGCAGTGGCCTGTGCAGATAACACAGCGACATTGTGGGATCTTGCTGTCGAGTTAGATGATGAGGAATACGGCAGAGAAACAGGTTTAGGATTGGGAGAAGGTGCCGAAAAGGTGCCTCCTCAACTACTCTTCATCCACCATGCCGAAGATGGGAAAGAGCTTCACTGGCATCCGCAAATGCCTGGCACGGTTATGGTCACCGGAGGAAGTGGTCTTGGAGTTTTCAAGACAATCAGCGTATGATGAAGGAATGACTTTTTCAGTGTTGAGAGTCTGAGAATGTAGCCCAGCTCGCGTGCTCTCCTGTGAGGTAATACGAATAGCGAATGAACTCAATTGGCAATTGATCTGCTATCTTCAGCCATAATTTAGGTCTTTGAGTCGTAATTGTGACGACCTTAGGACTATTGGCGCTACGGATTTGCAAAATAAGGGGTGTCAGATAAGGCAACCAATCAAGGCAAGACTTTTCACCAGTCCGGGGCAACTTGGCCCGTTGCAGTGGTCTCCGGGTTGGAAATCCAGCGAAGTGATTTATAATGTAGCAGTGACTGCCGTATCATGGGTTGTGCTAATAATTCTCCAAAGCTGTCGAATTTGGTCCCTGAGAGAACGAAGTGGAATGGTAGGTGTGGGATCTTCTACGATGAGTACTCGAGAGCCCGGACCGTGTCTACCGGATTATATAAGTACCGCCGGCTCGTCGCCCTTGGGGTCCCGGGGTACGCGCCCGACGTATGGCGGAATCGGATACTCAGATATGCGCGTGTGTTTACGATATAAAAACACTTTACCCACGAAGCCACCGTGTAAGTGTTGTCGGGTGATTCATGATCTTTGATTCTGACCTTTGATATTTTGTTGCCATCGAGACACGAGCTTCATCCAACCTCAAGCTTGTTACGCACCTCGACCCATCCACCCTCTACACAATGTCGGGCACTGAAACATTCCCGCACAGGCCTTCCATCGAAGTGTCACCATTCACAGTCAAAGTGCCAGAGGCCGAACTTACAGCCTTTCACAATCTCTTGCGCCTATCCAAGCTTGGACCCAGGACATATGAGAACACCAGCGCGAATGGCAAGTTTGGCGTGACGTACGATTGGATGTCCAAGGCCAAAGAACACTGGCAAGATGTCTTTGACTGGTAAGTGATACAGTCGATCAAACTCCAATTTGTCCCAGAAGTTCGATCGAGCTGAAGATATATGTGTATCTTTTCAACAGGCGTTCAGTTGAATCGCGCATCAATGCATTCCCAAACTTCATCGCACAAGTCCCAGACGATGACGGTTCCCTGCATCAAATCCACTTCGTTGGACTGTTTTCAAAAAGAAAGGACGCCGTTCCCGTGATGTTCATCCACGGATGGCCAGGTAAGTGTGGAATGTGATACGACGGCCATTGGAAAACTCCAATCATCATGCCAACCTTTGTGGGGAATTGATTAGGAAGTTTCATGGAGTTTCTCGACATTTTGACACTCCTTCGAAAACGGTATACTCCCGGTGAGCTCCCCTACCAGGTCATCGTGCCTTCTCTCCCAGGATACGCCTTCTCGTCGACTCCGCCCGTGGACAGGAACTGGATTCTTGAAGACTCGGCACGACTCCTGCACAAGCTCATGTGTGGACTCGGCTTCGAAGGCGGCTATGTCCTACAAGGCGGCGACATAGGGAGCTATACCGCGAGGATCATGGCTGCCATGTATGATTCATGCAAAGGTGAGTGCGACGCCTCCCCTCACCGCGTCGGAAGATGGTCACAAATGCTAACTTGGTCCCAAACAGCACTACATCGTAAGAGTCGACCTTGTGCCCATACCCTGAAAGAGACTGTCTTCAAACAATGAAGCATTCCGTTTCATACCCGATGTGAATATGCTAATTCCATGGACCATCCGACTAGTCAACTTTTGTGTCGTCCCACAACCTGACCCAACAATCCATGGCAAACTCCCGCTCGAAGATTTTGAAAAGAAGGGCCTCGAATGGGGTGATCGATTCGCCAAGTTCGGCTTTGCATATGCTCTCGAGCATGCAACACGTACGTCGACAATCGGCTTCACACTATCATCTAGCCCATTGGCTCTCCTGGCATGGTAAGTTCTGGCTGTGCCTCACAAAAAGCTCTCGAGAAAAAAAAACCCACCATCCCGTAGATGTGTCCAGTGTCCACACACATTCCCTCTCTGGGTCTATATTTCAAAGGTGTCTCATTTCTCTAACCTCGACGACTGCCCAACGACAGGATCGGAGAAAAGTTTTTGACGTGGACCGACACGACTCCTACCGTCGACGAGATCCTAACGTCCGTCACGTTGTACTGGCTCACCGAAACTTTCCCGAGGTGCATCTACCCTTACCGTCAAGAAGTCGTCGACACTCCCGTGGATTGGGACAAGGACGAAGAAGCGTACTCGAGGGTCTACGACAGGGGAGCCGACCGTTACATGAACCACGCGAACCCAGACTACCACTGTCGCAAACCCATGGGGTTCTCCTGGTTCCCCAAGGAAATCACACCGACACCGAAGAGTTGGGTCGCCACCACAGGAGATCTGGTGTGGTTCAGGAATCACGACGAGGTACGTTTTACTTGTCTAACCCCATTATCCCCGTCACTTTTGGAGGGGGGGTTTGTCGGTTCCATCGAGGACGGACGTCAATGTCATATTGAAGTATCAGGCTGACGATTTTGCGACCTTGTGGTTTTTTAATAGGGCGGTCATTTTGCTGCCATGGAGAAGCCGGGCGAGCTTTTACAAGACGTCGAAGATTTCGTCAAGCAGGTTTGGCAGCAGTAATAACGAGGTATCCTTTGGATAATACCTCCAAGATCAAACTCCTCGAGTCCTTCCGGTGTGAGCAGCAGTTGTGCGTTATGCTGAAGCCCGGCAAAATCTAAAGGCAAGAACCCTTGACACTTTTGCTCCTTTTTTTTCTTTTTAGACCACGTCCAGAAGAGAGAAGAATCCGATCTTTGGGTCGCAGATTTAGACCACAAGCAAGTATGCGAGTGCCACCAGATACTACCTAGATAAATCAAAGGCATATCACCATTGGAGAACCAAGGCGTCTCGATATCAGTGTATCGTATGTGGTATTGCACGGATATCAGTCAATAATTTGATTTTGTACCTGACCGTATCGTAGTAGCTAGTTGAATTAAATGAGTCCTTTTTTTGCGCATAGTTTTGATTCGTTTCCCTCCCAAAAAGGTGCTTTCGTTGTTGAGCACATGATGGAAAATCGCCGCCTCCCAATTCTCCCATTTTCGTCTTTCGTTTCCAGACGTGAATCAATCTTGCTCAAAAGTCGCCAAAATATTACACTATTAGCCCAAAGCCAGAATTATGAAAAATCAAAATAACCAAAATTGACAACCCACTGATGCACTGCACAAGTGTGTCGTCGATAGTCGCATGCAATAAAAGGACCTTTGAACCGGTACCAACGAGCACTCCCAGAATAGAAGCGCCCAAAAGGTGTTGTAAAAGCAATGAAAACCCAATTTCCAGCACCCCCAAAAAAACGCCCCAAGGTCTGCACTGCAAACCCCGTATTTGTCGTGTCCACCGGACAATTATCATCATTTCTCCATGTTAATCTGTCCCGAATTGTCATCCAGAGACGATGGAGATGAATCGTTGGTGCAGACGACACTGTACCCCGTACCTACGCGAGTATAGGTGACCGATGTCAGTTCCAGTTCGTGACGACTCCGCCCCCGCCGCCGCAGACACTCCTCCTGAACGGTGGTAGGACAGGACAACTTCCCGACCTGGCAAGAAGACGTGCGCGTTCAGCCTGACGAGCAGCTTTTGCTTTTGACTCTGCTTCCATGGCCCATACTGCCTCTGCCTGTGGTTTTTTAATAGGGCGGCCATTTTGCTGCCATGGAGAAGCCGGGCGAGCTTTTACAAGACGTCGAAGGAACTTCGTTGCCAGGTCGAGCCCTGGAAAAAAGATCCCTCCTCAAAACGAGGTCGTACGTTCGGGTCGGAGGTTGAGGTTTGTCCAGTGGCCGTAGAAAGTCTGGAATTCGGAGAGAAGATCCAAAGCGGTTTCTTTGTGGGGATTGTCCGCCTTCAATGCCGCGTCGAGTCTTTTCCTCGACGTCGGTGTTGCTTCTTCCTCTTCCGGTGACTCCATCATCACCTTTCGAGTGAGCACGCACGAATGATGATGATTTCGACGAAGAAGATGGCTCATTCTGATTCTCTGATGAGCAGCAACTTGTCGTCACAGTGGGAGGAGCAGGAGGGGACGACCAGGAGGACAAAGGTCGTCGTCGTCGTGATGCGGTCGACCAACGTTTGGTCGCCCAACCTTTGCCTTTCTCGGCAGAGGCTACTGCCGCACGACCAATCACGTCGTCGAGAGGTGGTGCTGTATCGGTAGAGGGTTTTGAATGTTGCGAGGATGACGGTAAAGTTGAAGACGATGGTCGAGAAGAAGAAGAAGAAGAAGAAGAAGAGGAGGAACTACCAATAACACCAGCATCGTTGGATTGCCGTGATCTACTCTCCATCAAAAAGGTATAAGGACTGGCGAGAGAAGATTCCGGGGTGGCTCGACACAGATTAGGGTCCGAGGGGATGGTATCGACGCCGCCAATCTTCGGTCCGCTGATGTATGTTGTCGTCAATCGTGGTAGTTGGTGACTTGCATCTGTAGATAGGAGGTCGAGTTCCAAGGACTCAGAGATCGTTATCTCGGTGTGTACGAAGATTTGGTTGTCCGAACTGACGTGAGCCCTTCCAACATCCACGATGTCGTTTTCCTTTTCCTTTGGGGTATCGTTCTCACTCCCGGAGTCTTCACTTTCTTCTCCTTCAGGAAGACTGTAGAGACTGTGATTTCGTCTGATCAAGCTTTGTCGCCGCCGCACCTTGGAATATATCGAGGATACCAGATCTTTGGACCTTGTGGTCGTCGTCTTGGACACTTTGGATCGAACATTCTGATCAGTATCTGGAAAGTAATTCCTGCTGCTGTTGTATCTCGGACGGTTCTGCAGAGAAGCTCTTCTCGCCAATCTCCACAATCCCAGATGATGGGGTGACGGCAATTGAAACCTCGGTGCATCGTCGTAGTATGCCATGGCACGAGGCACTTCCTGAAGTTTTCGAACGAACTTGTCGTCGCTCCTGTCTGACTCCGACCCTTCCGGGACTCGGACATCAGGTACGTCTGCTGGGGTTTCAAAGACCGGCATTTTTTACTCTTGTCCTGGTACCTTAGTTTGTTTCGATGCTGACTGGTGAGAATGATATCGAGGTTGGAAACATAGGAGTTGAGAAGGAAAGAAAAAAGGCCACCAAAGGAAGTGATTTTATTTGTGTATACTCATGAGAGAGGATAGATCGAGTGAGTGTGAGATACTGGAGATTGTCGCATCCTTGCAACGAGCCATGAATGTAGCCTTCCATATACACAGTGCTGTTTGAGATCTGCAGATCTAGAAAAACAGCAAAGCGTAAACAAGAAAGGCTAAAGTCGTTGGCTGTTGGTTGCTAAGGTGACTTCTATTCGCTTTGGTGGTTGTCAGTGAAGTAAGAGTGAGAGTGAATGATATGATGAAACCTCGTCTCACTTGCGAGTAGATCAATCAAATGAGAGTGATTGACTAGTGGGCATGAGTTTGAGAACAAAGTCGAGTGACTGTGAACAATCGAAAGTCATCAATAGACACATCATAACATGTGACTCTTGACATACCGGTGAAGCTACCTTAGCTATAGGTGAGTGAGTGTATCATGAACGCCACGGGGCCAAAGTAAAGTAAAGTATTGAGCTTCGCCTCGCCTGGACTGATTGATCGATCGATCGACTTTTGACAAGTTCGAAAAGAGAGACCCTTCTAATGACATTTTTCTAGCTACCTACTTTTGTTACGGCTGTGAAACATCGATTCACAGCTTTCCGGAGGGCGGCGCCTCTTTCTTGATTGAGTGCCATGTTTTGATCTCGATCTGGCTATAAATGTCGAATCCGGCCTGCCGTTTTTTCTTATCTCGACCGTCCAAAGCTTGCTGGTGGAGAGGGCTTGTTGTCAAGAATCTCTTCGATTTCCTGCATGGTCTTGTCGTCCAGCTTCTCCAACAGCTTGATGGCTTTGCAGTTGTCGATGATCTGTTCGACCTTGGTGGCGCCCAGGATGACGGTGCTGACGTTCGGGTTCTTCGCGGCCCAGGCGAGTGCGAGTTGAGACATGTTTCCACCCAGGCGCTCGGCGATCTTTGTGAGTTTCTTGACCTTTTCGATCTTGGCTTGGCCCTCGGGCTTCTGGAGAGCCTCGATGGTGCTGCCGAAGAAGTCCTTGTGGTTGTCGAACCGTGACCCCTTGGGGATGCCGTCGTTGTACTTGCCGGTCAAGAGACCGGAAGCGAGTGGGGACCAGATGGTGGTTCCGTACTTGTACTCTTGGAAGACCGGGGCGTATTCGACCTCGAAGCGCTCACGGTGGAAGGCGTTGTACTGTGGCTGTTCGGCGATCGGGGCGATCAGGTTGTACTTTTCCGCGATGAGGGTGGCCTCGGTGATCTGGGCCGCGGACCACTCAGAGGTTCCCCAGTAGTACGCGAGGTTGAGGTTGCGAATGACCTGGGTGAAACCCTCGACGATCTCCTTCATGGGGGTGGCGTAGTCCGGGCGATGAGCCAGGACAATGTCGACGTAGGGTTGCTGGAGACGTTCCAGAGAGGATTTGAGACCCTCGACGACGTGCTTCCGGGACAGACCACGAGTGTTGGGCTCCTTGCGACCAGTGCCGAAGAAGATCTTGGTCGACAAGACATACTCGTCACGAGGCCAGTTGAGCTCCTTCAGCGCATTGCCCATTTCGATCTCGGACTGGCCATTGGCGTAGGTCTGTGGGTTTGTGTGTAAGCAAGGGTCGATTTTTATCTCAGAGAAATTTTCTCTACTCACCTCGGCAGTGTCGAAGAAGTTGATACCATGATCCCACGCAGTTTGCATGCATCTTGTCTCAAAGTCAATGGAGTCGAATTAAAAGTTAGGCAAAGACATACTCACTCCTTCACAATGTTTCCCTTCTGAGTACCTCCGTAGGTCAACCAGCCACCTGTCCCAGACTGTCAGTGGGTGCATTCCAAAATCAAAAAGCGATTTTAGCGAGCTTACCGAGTGAGAGAACGGATACTTTCAATCCAGTCGGACCAAGGTGACGAAACACCTGTGGCATGCAAGGTTAGTGATTGACTTGACTTGAGGCTTTCACTCGCATCTTCAGTATTCACTCACCATGTCTTTGGGGTCGAAAGCGGATCGAACAGCCATGTTGTCTGAGATAGATCTATATGTAGGAAATTTAGTTATAGTGGTACGAGAGAGTGAGTTGCAGATGATCCCCTTTGTTGGTCTGAGCAACGATTGCATCAACTGCAGAAAAGGATCTGAGAGGTGAACTTGTGTAGAAAGGAAAGAAAAAACGTCCGTACCTCGACTAGATTTTAGATCGAAGCGAGGAGGGGTTATCGTTGGTAGGCCAAAGAGCTTATGACGTGCCCATTGAGGAAGGTGAACAGTTCAATGATGATGATGGGGTGGAGGAGCCATACCTAGTAATCATTGAATCAATGAGGTACTCCGTACAGTACACACTATTTACTTAACTACGTCGGCAATTGCCCGCGCCCTCTCGAAGGGATGGGGCACTGTTGGTACCAGGACAGGTACCCACTTACCCCCAATTACTAATATGTCCCCCTCTATCCACGCCTGAGGCCGGTATTAGTTACTGTAACTCCGCTGGTATCTGCGAGGACCGGTGTTCTCTCATGCGTCCGCAGCAGGAACATTGAAATCTTCAGACAAAACCCCCTTCCCATCAACCACAATGGGTTTGCTGTCCAGTTGCACGGCCAACAGCCTGGCTGGTTGGTCACTGGTATTGTGCCATCGATGCGCCGTGCCCCGCTGGACGAAAATGTCCCCGCGAGGGAGGCGTCGTCTTTCTCCTGAATCCAGCTCCAGCTCGATTTCGCCCTCCAGCACCACGCCGTAATCAAGAGATACAGTGCGGTGCATTGGCGACGATGCACCAGGTGCCATGTCGACCACCCTGAATACCGACCCACCTTGTATCACCACCCCCGGGTGTTGATGCAAGTATTTGTAGTATGCCTCGAGGTCCGCATCCTGATTGAAATCCGCCTGAAGAGCGTCAGTTGCGTAGCCCAACCCGAACCCTGAAGTGGGAAAGTTGGTCCACGTCGGTATTGTCGATATGGGAGGTGCCGGCGTCGACGCCGACGTGGATGGGTCATCAGGGTTTGGTGTTTGGAAGATGGCTTTGCCCTCCGAATTGTGAGTTGTAATATGACGACTGAACTCTGGCAATCCCTGGACTTTGGTGGTTGGTTGTGTCATTTCGATGTCACTCTCGTTGCCCTTGCCGGGATGTTAGACCAATGGACTTGCAAATGCCAGCTGAGTACACGGACTAAGAGAAGTAGCCACGTTCGCAACGAAGAGAGATTGATTTCAGGTTTGAGGCTGCTATTGTCAGATAAAGATTTAGTCGAAGCCTGTCACCAGGCATTGAACGACTGTCCAAAAGGAATTAGCCCATAGATTTAGACGACTGCCGAAGAAGGCCTTGATAAGAAAACCCAGTATGGGTCGTCAGGGTTCTGGTCCAGGCTCTGACATACGATCTTGTTCCTTTCGAATGGTTGCGATTCGACGATAGCCAGTAGGCATCACACAATATTGCTGCAGGAGCTGCATTTCATCCCATTGAACCATCGAGCACTGTGCCATTCCCTTGCAACGATGATGATGGTCTTTTCTGCCGGGAGAATTGCGTCTGGAAGCCTTTCGTGGGGCTTTTCCTTCCTTCACGAAGGCCTCCTTACCTGTATGGCTCAAGCAGATTCCGTGAGAGGGCCAGAGGGTCCCCACGGGCATCAGCCCCTCCACCTCGTCCACACCAGAGCGAGTCCCAGATAGGCTGCTACAAAGTCGGCTCGACCTCCATTCTCGGCGAGATGCAGAGTACTTTAGGTGGCCTTATCAACTTTTGTGTGTTTCCTCCGGAGGACGACATTGATTAAAGTCCAGAGTTGCGGTCTTAGCTGTTGGCGATGTGATCTCAAGAGCTTTGTATTGTATTGTATTGTGGATGCATTGTTTCAACTCCACGAGAACGAAAGCATTGTTTGTTAGTGTCGAAAGCATTGGAGTGGGAATTCCAATCAGTCGCAATGAGATAGATCACCCACACCCCAAGTCGATTAGCCTCGATTACAAGGCTCTTCAACTGAACTGTTGGTGGCTCGAAGGTTGAAGACCGACGATTTCAGGCTGAATAGCTCCTCTGTGGTCATGCGGCTGGGACCAAAAGTTCTAGGTAAGGTCTTTGACGATTCTCACGTCGTGACGCGTACGGAGATGGCGGACCTGATTAATAGGGTCGGCGGCGTCGGTGTCGGCGTTGGTGCTGCCCCTGTCTCTCCCCCTAAACACCCCCACCTCCCAGCCAGCCAACAATCAATGCGTCTAGACTGACTCATGTCAAATGTGTCTTTTTCGCTCACACCCCTTAGAAGATGCCTCTGCGCTAGGTCGAAAACCTTTTGCGAAGCCTTGGTAGACACCGTTCGACTGGATCGATGATTTCCAATAGGGGTTTCTTGCTTCATGGGCAATATTTGTGCGTATATACATACGAAGGCCACAGTTGTAAAGGTTTGAGCAACATCACCAGAATAATTCGGTTGCGACTTGGTCGTAAAGGGATCCTGGAGCCCCTAACCCACGGAGACCTGTCACTCTTTTTAACAGTCTTTGAAGCGCCTGGCCTGGCCACGGCATCTGAGGTCTTGGTCAAACATCAAGTGCATGGCTGGCTGGTGATGCGCGGTCGTACCCGACAACTAAAAGAAGACGATGTATGTATGGAGCAGCACACGAGTCTCGCGACAAAGTCGTTTTTCGGGTGGAGCTATCAATGTTCTTCGCGTTCATCTTAATTTGGCTTCGGTAGTACGAGTACTTCGTATCTTCCAGGACAGGAGCCTTCTGTTGTGACAATCCCCAGCCTGATGGAGCTGACAAGAGCTTGTCACGGACTGACTTTCTTCGATCATCAGGCCCCAAGTTAGAAAGAGGCCTAGTATGGGAACTTCATCCCATGCAGATGCGGCAATGAAATGAGACCGGGCGTCGTGCCAAAAGTCGGCCTTGCGCGACGCATTGATAGGATCAGCCACATCAGGAGGGAAAAGACAGTCCTGTTGTCATTCCACGGAGGCCCATCAAGCAATGGCCACCTCCGTAACCCAAGCATTTCCCTGCCTCCCAGACATCTCGGTATGTTGACACACTTCAGGATCGTATAAGAAAAGCAAGGGGCCGCTCGGGACATCAAGCTCTTCGAATCTCCTTCCGCCACACAAACCAGCATTAAAGCAACTTTCGCCGTCGACACTCCCTGCGTTTCCCTTGTTTCAGCCAACAACAACATGTCTTCGACCAGCTCCTCCCCAACACTGCTGGGCAGCAGTCCGCCTCGCGTTCTAGGACACAAGGACGAGGAGGCTGGATTGATCCCTCTGGAAGACCTGGAGTCCTTGGATAAGATGGTACAGATTAGCGAAAAGCCAGTGTGGCTCGACGAGTCCGAGTCCGAGACAACACCACGATCTTCACTCAGACAAGCGCTGATCGATTATTCTTGCATTGTACTCAACGTTGTTTCAACCATTGCTATCGTCTTCGTTAACAAGATGTATGTTATTATTGTTGCTGTCGAGGCTTTCTGTGAAAACCCATAGCTAACTCGACTCTTACAACAGCGTGCTGAGTGACGAACAGCTTCGACATTGCCAAATCTCAATTGCCGCATACCACTTCTTCATATCATTCGTGGTGCTCTACATTGCTGGTCGACTACTGAAGATGTTCCCCGTTATCTTCCTGCCTGTCAAGGAAGTCTTCTCCGTTGCAGCATTCTTTGCCGGTTTCCTGATTCTTGGAAACCTCTCCCTCACATTCAACAGCGTGAGCTTCTACCAACTGGCAAAGATCATGACGACTCCGACTGTGGTTTTGCTGAACTACGTCCTCCTGGGCAAGACCGTCAACGTGCTGACTTTGGTGTCCATTGCAACGCTGTGTCTTGGGGTTGGCCTCATCACTTCGGCCTCTATCTTCTCGAATGTCTTGGGCACGTGCATTGCCGTTGCGGCCTTCACGATCACGGCCCTCTATCAGATCTGGATCGGGAAGAAGCTAGTCGACCTCAAGGTCTCGCCTCCACAGCTGTTGCTCAACCAAGCGCCCGTCGCTTGCGGTCTCTTGTTGCTACTTTGCGGCTTTGTCGACAAGGCTCCCGTCGTCCAAGAGCTGAACATGCGCAGTATCAACGCCTTGGTGGTGTCCGGTTTCATCGCAGCACTACTCAACGTCTCCCAATTTCTGGTCATTGGGCGTACATCGGCATTGACATTCAACGTCATCAGCCAGTTGAAGACTCTAGCTATTGTTGGCCTGAGTTGGTATCACGAGAATCGAGCCTTGTCCATGATGGATGTGGTCGGGGTGGTAATGACTCTGGGAAGTGCATATGCATATGCGACCGTCTCCAAAAAGTGACGAGAACGACTACGACAACCATTTCTGAGCGATTTCTTCTTTCAGATCTATATACCAGATATACCTTTAGAGTTTCACTGCACTTCTAGAATAATGCTTTAATGATATGATGATCTTTTCTTGGACTTGTTATTCCAGTCGTCACTATATGGTACATTTGTTCTCCTCGCCGGTATTGCCACCCTGAAGGAGAACAGCTCGACTCTCTTTGTTTCTGCTGCAGCCAACGACGCACATACTTGGACTGTCCGTGCTGGTAAGAGGTCTACTGAACATACAACGCGAGCCAGCAAGGAGACGCGCATCTTTCTCATCTTAAATGACATGAACGCTGAGCCCGTTTGACGTGGGTGACGTTCACATTGAGGGCCGTGCGGCGGTCGTCGGAGTGGGCCGTTGTCTAGGGACTGTTGTTGGTCCTTTCACCTTCTGCGCTATATCTTCCCGCTTTGCCACGAGGGGATTAAGGGGGTCCTCTTCACCATGGAGGCCCATCTCCGAACCAGAAACATCTCCCTCCCCGCCAGAGACAATTTCTCCCTTCGGGCCAGAGACATCTCCCTTCTCTTTTTACTCTCGGTCGTGAACCATCACCCAGAGGGCGGAGCTCCTGTGGTATACTGTAGGTACACACAGCCCAGCGCCTATCAGTCCGGTTCGCTAGGGTCTCCGACTGCCCAGCCATTGCCCTTTTATATGTCTAGCTTTTTGAAGCTAAGTCGGTTTGACTTGCTGCACTGACCGCACAACAACACCTCCTCTTCCTTTTCTTGCCCTCGATCGTCTGCGCGTTGCGCATCCCTCTCTGTCATTCCCGCCCGCCAACATCACTCTAGTTCTTATGGGGCGATCTCGCCAGCCCTCCCTGTGAGTACGGATAAACGGGTACCTATCTTGTTGGTAGGGTAAATTTGCAAAACACGTCAACGACAGGTTGAGAGAAAGTGGACTTTTTCGGTACAGTATGTCTCCACGGACCTTGGTACCCAGACCTGCCAACCTTTCAGGTAGGTACCAGATGGCAGGTTGAGTCGCGTTTATCAGGGGGACGTATATGTCTCCTAAAGGTTGGTTATAAGCTGTCCCTACCTTCAAAGCTCCTTGTTTTGTCCTCGCCTCCCCTTTGCAAAGGTTTGGTCCCTGGGAATTCTTCCACCACCAGCCCATTTTCAGTTCGAAACAGCAACATCACACAACTAAAGTCACACCATGGACAAGGCCGACTTTGGTTCACAACAGTCGCAAGGCTTTCGATTACGGAGGAAGGCATACCTGGCTCTGTTCCTCGCCGTGGTCGCCCTCTTGCTCTTCAACACCCGCAGCCATCTCCCCGACAGCATCCAACAACATGCCGACATGATCCCTTCCTCCCCTATATCCGTGAGTCTCAACAATGAGATCCCCAACTACGTGCACTACGTGCAACTGCAAAAGAACGAAGCGGCCAAGTTCCATTTCGAATTCAAGCATTTCCTGTCTGTGTACTCGTCCGTCGTCTACCTCAAGCCCAAGACCATCTTCCTGCACACGGATTTCTCGGAGGAGGCGATCGACAAGGTCATGCTGAGCGACGACCCCAAAGACAAATGGACCAGGCGGATACTGAGCCTCAAGTCGGTCAAGGTGCGACACGTGCGCTCCCCGACCGTGGCCGCCGGCAACGGCAAGAAGATCCAAGAGATCCAGCACAAGTCGGATTTCGTGCGCATGGACGCCGTTTACGAGTTCGGCGGGCTTTACATGGACTTTGACGTCCTTCCCCTCCGTGACATCACCCCCCTGCGGAGGTCCGGCTTCAAGAACATCGTGGGCCGCGAGCACGGGGGTGCCGTCAACAACGGCTGCTGGTTGTCGGCGCCCAAGACGGCCATGGTCGACATCTTCCGGTCCGAGGCCAACGAGATCTTCGACGGCGGCTGGACCACGCACAGCTGCAAGCTCCTGACCCGGGTGGCGGAGCGACTCGTGCGCACCCCGTCCGAGGTCCTGATCATGGACATGCTGGCCTTCGCCCCGTCCAGCTGGGTCGACAGGGACGTCGAGAAGCTGTGGTCCATCCACAACGAGAGCACCATCTTCCCCGACGACGACATCGACTTCACCATCCAGGACCCGTACCTGCGCTGGAGCCGACGGAACAAGGTCGCCGAATGGGAGAACGACTGGTCGGCGTCGTACTTCCTCCACTCCTTTGACCGCCATGGCAAGATCCCCGCCGAGTTCAAACACGGGGTCCACGTCGAGGAAGTCATGTACCCGAGAAGCAACTTTGGCCTTCTCACGTACCCCGTCGTCAAGCACGCGATGAAGCATGGTTACGTCTTTGAAGAGGACGCCGAGGAGGGCGGCGCGCTATAAGCTCAGCCTGAAGCTGCCTCTCCGTTTGGATTTTACCCTCAAGCCAAGTACGCTTATCCTTCCAGTCTTGTCGTCCCTCTGAACATATCGTGGGCTTCACGGAGACTTGACTCTGGTTTTCATGGGCAATGGCCCTTTTCTGAGATTGGGAGAGAAAGAACATCCTCAAGAAAAACGATGGGAGGTTGCACTTTTGATGCGTGCATGCAGTTTGACGGATTCCTACTACAGTTATTTTGGTTCCATGCGTCGGGGCAATTGCATCACCAGTCTCACATGCGCGTGAGCATCGACACAGGCGTTTTACGGCGAAGAAAAGGCTTTCGCCATGGGGGGGGTTTTTTTGGTTCCATTTGAATATCGGATTCAGCTGTATATATCTATGCCACTAGTACCCAAGTTAGCACCAAGGAGTCTATTCTTCTGGGGATCTCTGGTTGAGCTGCTGTAGTTAGCGAACATCACTAGAATTTTCAAAGAGAGAAACGCGAAATTAAAAAACAAGAACTCATTTCCCGAGTATTAGTCCCCGATCTTCAACACTTGAACTATTTTGAAGATTTCTTACCAACATATGCCCACAAAGAAGGGAGAGATCAAAGACCTGTTTTAGTAATAGTAATAAGGATGATTTGACCCTTACGACTCTTGCAAAGGGAGGGAGATACTCCTGGTCTGGCCAGGAGTGACTTTGCTGGCTAATTCACATTTACTGGCTCGTTGGCTGGCCGGCTGACTGACTGGAGATCGGACATTTCAAAAGGTTAGATCACGAATAGTACAGTACTCCTTGTATGACAAGAGGATAGAGGGAGGAAGGACAGAGAAACAATGGTACCCTGTAGGTGTTGTTGCCAGCCTTCTTTGACATGTTACGGTTTTCTTTTGACTTCTTTTGACGAGCCTTGTGGGAACAGTGTTTCGCGCCCCCATCTCTTTCTTCTCTTCCAGGTCCCATATATCATATAACATCAACAACTCCTCGTAACGTCGAAGCAGGTGTTTTGTACTGTAGGCTGGATCAATGGGTGCGCGAAGTACGTACCCCTACTACTGGTAGATCCAAGACTTATTCGAAAAGGTCTTCTCTTTTTACTATCTTTTTGAATCCAATCTCCGAGAGTTACAAATGCCATGGTTCTTTCAACTCACCCCTTTAGTTATTGTTGTGGGGGGAAGCCCTTTGTTGATGATGATCATCATCAACCCACCATTCTAATTAAAAATGCAATGTATATCATGACCGACGATCGAGGTCCGAGCAACGACAAAGTCAAAGTTCCGTTTCATCATCAACGCCAAAGCTAATAATGATCGCCTCACGTAAATGTTGACGGGATCTTCAATAATATCGCTCGCTAGATTGGGAGAGGGAGAGAAAAGGCAAGTTGGATTCTTCTGTCCGTGATCTTTTGGTAGGCACATCACCCAGGGATCATTCAACTCGTGTGTGAAGAAGATCCCAGAAGGACGAAGTACTTTGTGTATATACTGTGTGTGTTTGGCTAACGAAGAGTTTGCGGGGACGACCTTGGGACAACGACGACGACGACGACAACTACTCACTCGAGTTGAGGACTATGTACGGAGTATGTCCTCAACTTTTTGTTCATCATCCACCACCACCACCACCACCGCCACCGCTATCATACTACATGAGTAGAGGATAGCACACTTGACCTGCAGCACATTGGCCCTCCCCCTTCTTCTCTCCAATTATCAAACGTGTCATGCGAGGTCATGTCGTGTCCTCTCACATCTCATGTCTCGGAAGCGTTGGCGACTCGGTCACGTGTCGTCAAAATCACGTGCTACACGAGTCTCGGCATCCATTTGTTTAGCCCCCCTGCCTCATGTAATATGGCACTTCCCTGATTCTATTCTATTTGCCCTCTTCACACACAGAGATATCAACATTTCAATGATATCATCATCATTCCGTCTATCACTTCATCAGTAATGTGGTCCACGCACCCCTCAGTCGACTTGTGTTGCCTGCACAAACTCAGGCAGCCTCTGCTTGGAGATTTTGCTGCGTTCTGCGGAAAAAAAGGGGGGGGAGGGGGGGGGTGGTTTCCACCGTGCTCTCCGCCACGCCGCATGCAGTAGAGACATTTCTTGGTCCATATGAGCAAATATTACTGCAGCCAGTCGTTCATGTTGCCTGGCGGTCACCAAGGGTGGTTCTCATTAGAACGAAATTTGCACCATTCACGGATCGGTGACGATCGAGCCCTCGGGACGCTGCAGAGTGCGCACAGAAAGGAGGCTTTGAAAGATGGGTTCGGTGTCCTATCACTTCGATTTCCCGGAAATGTTTGACGCTGCTGCCCGCGATGTCTTTGACAAAATCAAGATTTCGGCTGAGTAGTTCGCCTGCCTGGACTACTTGGGCCAACAGGACACTTGTCTCCAGGGCTCCTCCTAGAATCAAACGGCAAGACACGGGCGGCGGCTCTGCTGTATTCCAGGGGGCTCAGATCGAGCTAGGTCAGTGGGAATACTACGTGGCATCAATCAAAACCTCAGTCTTTGCATCTGCTGACCAGTGGGGGGCAAACAGAGACAGTGGTGGCACTGACCGTGACGTTAGTGGTCTGAATAAACCTGCCAGAAGAAGATGTTCCAGGCATGTATGCAATCTCCAACTCTGACCCAAACAAAGACATTTCCGTCCGAGACGAAATATATCGGGTACCCGTCTCGGGAAGGTGAAGTATGGATTGCGAGATAGATCAAGGAGCAGGTCTTGATCCTGCGCAGAACCGAGCAGTTGTCCAGCAGAGGGAGGAGATTTGCCCTTTGCAGCCTTCCCCCGGTTCTGAACCACTCCGGGGAAGAATTTGTGAAGGACCTCACAGCCTTGCTTGTCTTGCACCAATAAGCAGCCGCTTGTGGGTGGTTGATGAGCTGGCTGGAGACTTATAAGTGTCTCTCTATGCTCGTTCCGTTGGCTCCTAGATCCTCCTTGCAACTTCCAAAAACATCTGTTCCAACTTTATCTTCTCATTTTATCTCAACCGTCAGCCATGGCCAATGACCAAACCACGATAAGAGAGCTGCTCACAACGTACAAACCGCTGATTGACTGCACCGCTTCTGGCATAGGACCTACGACGAGCACCAAGTGGCCAAACCTTGGAAACATCAAGATCTGGGAAGACTTCACTCTGGCCATTATCGACCGTGATTTCGGCTTCGCCCTCGATGATCCTTTCACGATCATGAACCCTCGTCCAGCTGGATTTCCACTGCCAGTCGGACATCAGATCAACTCCCTAGCCGACCTCAACGCTTTGTTCAAGCGAAACGTAGACATGCTGGATGAAACCCTTGTTCATGCCCGAATGATCTTGGACCTCCACTTTGACAAGCCGTGTGCGAGTGACTATGCGACTGCTCAGGGTTATGCTAAGTTCCTTACAATCAGGTCAAACATGGCATTGCAACACGCCATATGGCTTGAACACCAACCCATCCTAAACATCCTAGCCGGCCTCGGAAAGACCAGCAAGCAGTGGTGTGGGAGTGCGCTACAAAACAACATTAGAAACAATGACGAGCCCTCGCAGCCACTCCTTTGGCCGGTGCGCCAGCTAGCCAATATTTGCAACAAGGCGAATACACGGTTTGGATATATTCAGACCGACAAGGAGCTAGTCGTGTTTGAATTCACCCTACGCGCCGACGAGAAGTATGATGTGCGTTTCATGCCAATAATGTGGTCGACCTTCGATGGTCTGACAACAGACCTTGCACTCCTTTGCCTCTGCCTCATCTCAATGCACGTTGTCTTCCGATTGATGCCCTGGCGACTAAGATGCTAACGTTGCAATTATAGGAGGGAAGCGCCAAATGCTTGAACCATAACGATCAAAAACTGTTGTCTGCTCCAGACCAGCCAAGTCACTTGCCAAGGCGACATATGTGAAAGTGTACTCCGTCGATGTTGGTGGAAGTTGATCATTTTCGTGGGTTTGCGTTTCCCTCGTGTTCACTCACTTTACTTTCTTTTCTTGAGGCCCGGCGTCCAGATGTTTGCTTTGGTTGAGACTTTACGTCCCATGTTCGCTTCTTTACTTTCTTTTCTCGGGCCTGTTTCCTTCGGCTGGGACTTTACGTCAGAGATTAGATGATCGTTCTGTTGTGCGAAAGAGAATAGAAAACGTTATCATTCTTGCAAGACCCTTCGAACGAGGGCATTATTTCTAGGGATTTCTTGTTGAACAATCGCAGACTGACAATCTTACCCATGGAATGGCATTTCAATCTTGAACAATAGCACCGGTAATAGCATACTTCAACCGGTCCTTGACCCTCTCGCCTTTCGTCGTCAACCGAATGAATTGCCCTTGCTCATGTTTGCCTAGGTATAGTGCCGAATGCTTCGAGTGTGCGTCGATGCTCCGGGGCCAACTCTGACAGAGGCGCCATAGGTGGTGGGGGTTTCTTCGGTGCCGGTGGAAAGATCAGACCATCCCTGTACTCGTACTCTGATAGTCGAGGATAGGCGTCTCGCCATCCCTCGAGGTCGGCAGCCTCCTTGTCATCACACTCATAATACCATCTGGCTGGGAAGAGGTCGATCCGTCGCTGCTTCTTCTTTGCACCTGAGCCTCTGCTGCCTCTAAAACTGTCCACATTTCCACCTGGTCTTTGTCTCCTTCCACCCTTCGCCGTTGCATTGATGCTGCCCTCGCTTTCGTCACTCGCCACGGATGACTTCCTCCAGTCGTACAGCCTCGGGTCGGCGAAGGTATAGGGAAGATTGTTCCGGCGGGCCGGCATTTTTCTGAGGTTATGTTGACGTTGGTTTGGGAATGGGTCGATCCATATTTTGTCCCGTGCCTTCTTATGTTCCTGGTTCCACACAAGCACCAAATCCTCGAGCCGCGCAAAGTCGGTCCGGCAGCATCGAAAGGTTTCATTTTCCAGGCGAGCCACCTGCTCGGGCGAGAGCAATGGGTTCAATTCCGGCGTCATGATGAAATTCGGAGTCGTCAGGGCCTGGCTGAGATCGGATGGTTTGCCGTCAACGAGCTGTCGGGTCGCCACATCGAGGCTGGCGATGCCCAGCCGATGCAGCTGGACTATGTCTCTGAACATTTTCTTCACGACCGACGCATTGAAGAGCGTGTCTACTTTCCCGAAAGCCTTGACGATGGCTCGAAGCGGCGGTTCTCGGCCAGATCTCTTCCCGGGGTAGCGCGCGCGCTGTTTTCCCATATATGCCGGAAACCCACCGAATTCCTCTGAATCAAAGCTGACCTCGAACCGATCCACCATCTCCTTTTCTTCCTCCTCGTTGATCAGGACGTACCCGAAACAACGTATTGCCAAATCTTCGTGACCCGACTCCTGGAGGCGAGCGAAGGCTCGACATTCACAATTGAATGGTTCAGCGTGGTTAGCAAACGCCGTGAGGGCTTCGTGACTATATGCATCCGGGTCAATGTCTGGCCCTGGCCATTCATCCCCGTCGGTCCATCGAAACTAGACAGATGCAAACCACTCATTAGCACAGTTAGGATTATTTTGATTGGAGGGATAATGCGAGCACGCTTTTCCGATGATGATGATTATGTGGTGGGGAGCAGCAGCAGCAGCAGCAGGAGGAGGAGGAGGAGGAGGAGGAGGAGGAGGAGGAGGA